TGTGCAGTGTGTCTGTGCTCTGCGTGTGCAGTGTGTCTGTGCTCTGCGTCTGCAGTGTGTCTGTGCTCTGCGTGTGCAGTGTGTCTGTGCTCTGCATGTGCAGTGTGTCTGTCCTCTGTGTCTGCAGTGTGCCTGTGCCTGTCTTTTGGACCCACACTTGCACATTCACCTCTTTCAAAATTAGAGTGCCAGCCCCACGCTGCAAAGCAGGGCCGGCAGGTGGTGGTGTTCTGATTTGTGTTCTCTTCATTACAGATTCCATGGATGGAGAGGACTCTGCCTCATCCTCACAGATGCCTAGTTTGTCCTCACAGAAAGTGATGCCTGTTCCTGAAAAGTACAGGAAGCGAAGGATGCCTGGCGGAAAGTTCCAGGTGCCCTCAGATCGGGAGTGTCTGAGCAGCCTGGACAGGGCTGGTGGGCCCACCAGCTTGGAGGAAAGTCTCAGAAGACAGGACAGCTCGGAGGCCAAGGTGGCCTTTTCCTGCTCTGATGCTGCTGAGCCTGAAGAGCAGACTGCACGTGGTCCTCGTGATGCCATCGGGGTGAGCGGGAAGCAGAGGCCAGCCGCTGTGGCCGGCCATTTCCACGGAGTGGGCATTGAGTGTAGTGAGGGCTAGATAGCTTGTGATGCCACATCTTCCATTTTCAGTCCAAAATGTGAACAAACTGAAAGTCTTGCACGCTGACTCCTGTGCTTTTTCCTCTGCTCCATGCTGCTCCCTGCAGCCTTAAGTGTTCTGTACATTTGTCTTCAACGTTGGAGGCAATCGCTGTGGTCACCTGGGGTCCTCACTGTGAGGGAAGAGCCTTGGCAGTGAATTTCCCAAAGGACTTACCCCATTAGGGCTTGAGAGACTCCTGCCCTCCTCAGGGACCAGACCCATGGCCCACCAACTCCCCTGCCTCCGAGTGCGTGCCCAGCATCCGTGGGAGGGTGTGAGCCTGAAGAGGGGACGCTCAGAACCAGCCTGTGACTCAGAGTTGCAGGGGGAGGGGGGAAGGGGGAAGGGAGGGGGGAGGGGGAGGGGTAGTTTTGCTGAGCCTGAGGGGAAAGGGAACCTGGCACAGGTTCTCAGTGAAGTCACTGACTAGAGAGACAGATGCGAGCTCCTGAGCTTGCTCTGCGCATTGTGGCTTGGAGTCCTGTCTGTATCCTCTGTCTTCTCCCTTGTGGATGGAGGGGAGACAGAACTTGGGAGGTCAGGCCCTGTGCTGTCCTGTCATCTTCCTGAGGTCTCCTCGGAGATCCCGAGGCTGGAGATGCTGTTGCTGCTGCCGCTCTGTGGGAAAGCATGCATCTGGGCCCACACTGTGCTGCAGAGACCTAATTTCTGCCAGGAGCAGAAAGCCAGTCTCACGCTTATGTCTCCTTCACAGCTGTCGCCCAGACCACGCTCTGCAGCCATGCCTGCACGGAGGGCTGCCCTGGAGACCGCGCTCTTAGGGGCACTGCTGGATCTAGTGGACAGATGCTGGAGTGGCAGTGGGTCCCTGCAGATCAATGAGGCGTTCCTCGGTGAGTCTGGGCTGCCTCCACCGGCAGGACCGCCCATCTGTGGTCTTCGGGGTCCCCTGTGTGTGCAGCCCTCCCAGGCTCCGGAGCTGCGGTAAATTGCCTCCACACTGGACCTGGTCCTCTGCGGCTGGAGCTGAGAACACTGCCCGGGGTTGGGCTTTACTTACTCCGTATTTAATTATTCCTGTATTTGGAGTATTGTCTGCTTGAGATCCTCTATGTACATTCGGTGTGTGCAGACACAACACAACATGGAATCAGAGTTCTGTGGTAACCAGACAGTCCTAGAGAACTTGGGTCTTTTTTTTGGGGGGAGGGGTCCGGTCGTGGGGCCTGAACTCTGGGCCTGGGCGCTGTCCCTCAGCTCTTCAGCTCAAGGCTAGTGCTCTACCACTTGA